TGCGGCACCCCTACCAACAACGCGGCGACAAAAACCGCCGCCCCCACCAATGCTGCCACCACCGCAGCCGCCACTGCTGCCGCCACACGCGCCACAAACACCACCACCACCACCGCCACCAGGCTGTGGCGAGTACAATGGTACGCCCCCCGTGTGCAATGGTGCGCCCCCCCCACCAACCCCGAGAAATGAATATTGTTCCTCAATCTCGGACGTGGCTGTCCGCAGGTTCTCCAGGGCTCAGCGCGCCACTCCGCGCAGCCCCCAACCTCGGCAGGGCTTCCCCTGAGACCCCTAAGATGTAGTGATATTGCAATTGCAACGGAATTACTGTAGAGAGAATCCTGTGCAAGTAAAGCTGTTTAATCCCCTTAGGGGATTTGCACATGAGCGCCGTGCTGGGGCGCCCTGCGCAGAGCCAAGAAATCCCAATCTGCGATCCTCCGTTGTGCCTCCAAAGCCTTGAGGCCCCGACAAGCACGGCCGCCGCGGCTGCCGCTGCCACTGCCACTACTGCGAATGCCGCCGCCACCAGCGCCGCCACCGCCGCCACCCCTGCCGCTGCCTCTGGTATTGCCAGCCACGCCCGCCGGCGCCGCCGCTGCTGCCACTGCTGCGCCAGCAGCCAGCCCCCCCACTGCTACCCCGCCTGCGCGGCCGCGCCCGCTCCCGCCTCTGCCACCACACACGCCTGCCCCGCGGCGGGCCACAGCCACTACCACCGCCGCGGCCAGCGCCCATCGCCCCAAATACCATTTCCACCTTACCACCATCGCCGCCGCCGCCGCTGCTTCGCCGCTGCCGCGGCCGCGCCCCCCACTATCCGCCCCATGCGCCGCCGCCACCAACACCGCAGCCGCCCCCAGTGCCACTGGCTGCCCTGCCGCCACGGGCCCTGCCGCTGCCGCTGCCACTAGTTCGAGGCACCCAGCGCCCCAGCGCTCGCAGCACCAACGCCGCAGCCCCCAGAACCTCTTCAACCCCAACCAGCGGCCGCAGCGCCAACGCCACAACCCCCCAGAGACATCCGACCCTGCGGCCTATGCTCAAGGCCTGAGGTCAGTCCTCGCGGGGCGCGCAGGGAAAGGGGGGTCGCTCTCTCTCTCTCTCTCTCTCTCTCTGCTCACCTCCTCATCATTCTCTCTCTCCTCGCTCGTCTCTCTCTTCTGCACTCTCTCTCTTTCTTCTCTTGACAGCCGACTACGACCAAGGCTAATACTACTGACAAGTAACTAACTACTACTACTGACTACTCTGCTACTACTACTATGACAAGACCTACAATTTCTAAGTACTCACTACCAACCACTACTACTACCACTACTACTAGCACACTACTACAACTGCTACTACTACGCACTACTACTACTACTACTACTAGTACTACTACTACTACTACTACTACTACTACTACTACTACTACTACTACTACTAGTATTACTACTACTACTACTACTACTACTACTACTACTACTACTATTAGTACTACCGCTACCACTACCACTACCACTACTACTACTACTACTACTACTACTACTACTACTACTACTACTACTACTACTACTACTACTGCTACTTCTACTACTATACGACTACTTCTAATCTACTGCGACGCAACCCTATTACCACCATACTACTACTGACTACTAGTCTAGCACCATCACTACTCTACTGACTACTAACTACTACTGACTACTACTACTACTACTACTACTAACTACTACTACTACTACTACTCCTACCACTACTCCGACTACGACTGCGACTTACGCTAGCGACTGCTGACTGCGGGACTCCCTACTCCTCCTCCCACTACTAACTACTACTCTACTACTACTACTACTACTACTACTACTAACTACTACTACTACTACTACTACTACTACTACTACTACTACTACTACTACTACTACTACTACTACTACTACTACTACTACTACTACTACTACTACTACTACTACTACTACTACTACTACTACTACTACTACTACCACCACTACTGCTACTACTGCTACTGCTACTACTACTGCTGCTACTACTACGACTACGACTGCGACTGCGACTACGTCTGCGCGGCCCCGACGGCGGCCGCGATCCCCGCCGCCGCCGCTGCCGCCAACACCACCACCGCCAACGCCGCCGCCCATGCGGCGCCCCTACCAACCACGCGGCGACAAAAACCGTCGCCCCCACCCATGCTGCCACCACCGCAGCCGCCACACGCGCCACAAACACCACCACCACCACCGCCACCAGGCTGTGGCGAGTACAATGGTGCGCCCCCCGTGTGCAATGGTGCGCCCTCCCCAACCAACCCCGAGAAATGAATATTGTTCCTCAATTTCGGACGTGGCTGTCCGCGGGTTCTCCAGGGCTCAGCGCGCAGCCCCCAACCTCGGCAGGGCTTCGGTGAAATTGTGGAGGATCCCCAGAACGGGGCCAGAAAACCCCCCTGAGATACCCAGAATGTAGTGATATTGCAGCTGCAACGGAAATCACTGTAAAAAGAATCCTGTGCATGTAAAGCGTTTTAATCCTATTTGGGGATTTGCACACGCCGAGAACGAGGAATTTAGGCACATGAGCGCCGTGCGTGGGCGCCCTGCGCAGAGCCAAGAAATCCCAATTTGCGATCCTCTGTTGTGCCTCCAAAGCCTTGAGGCCCGCACAAGCACGGCCGCCGCGGCTGCCGCTGCCACTGCCACTACTGCGAATGCCGCCGCCACCAGCGCCGCCACCGCCGCCACCCCTGCCGCTGCCTCTGGCATTGCCAGCCACGCCCGCCAGCGCCGCCGCTGCTGCCACTGCTGCACCAGCAGCCAGCCACCCCACTGCTACCCCGCCTGCGCGACCGCGCCCGCCTCCGCCTCTGCCACCACACGCGCCTGCCCCGCGACGCGCCACAGCCACTACCACCGCCGCGGCCAGCGCCCTTCGCCCCAAATACCACTTCCACCCTACCACCATCGCCGCCGCCGCCGCTGCTTCGCCGCTGTCGCGGCCGCGCCCCCACTATCCGCCCCATGCGCCGCCGCCACCAACACGGCAGCCGCCCCCAGTGCCACTGGCTGCCCTGCCACCACGGGCCCTGCCGCCGCCGCCGCCACTAGTTCGAGGCACCCAGCGCCCCAGCGCTCGCAGCGCCAACGCCGCAGCCCCCAGGACCTCGTCAACCCCAACCAGCGGCCGCAGCGCCAGCGCCACAACCCCCCAGAGACATCCGACCCTGTGGCCTATGGTCAAGGCCTGAGGTCAGTCCTCGCGGGGCGCGCAGGGAAACGGGGGGTCTCTCTCTCTCTCTCTCTCTCTCTCTCTCTCTCTCTTGTTCTTCTCTTGAAGAAAGCCACAAAAAGTGTAGGTCATCCCGGCCTTGCAAGACCACGCCCGCCAAATATATATTTGTGCATTGTGCATGTATATACACATAGATGTGTGTATGTATATATATATATATATATATATATATATATATATATAATCGCATGGCCTTCGGGCCATCCCGCCACCGCGCCTAGGCTGCGGGTATGAAGCCTATTGGATGTTCGTTGGGATTTCGTGGGATGCCTCTCGGGGGCCTCTAGGAGGCAGCTTGAACGCCTCTTGGGGACCGTTTGGGGGGCTCTTGGGTCTTTGGGGCATCTTGGAAGCCTCTTGGGAGCCTCTTGGGGCCTCTTGGGGGCGTCTTGAGAGCTTCGTGGGGCCTCCTGGGCGCCTCTTGGGGCCTCCTGGGGGCCTCTTGGGGCGGAAGGCTCGGATTTTCGGTTCGTGGTTCCTCTCTTGGGTCCCTTTTGGGACCGTCTTGGGGCCCTCTTGGGCCGTTTTGGGCGCCTCTTGGGAAGTTTTTGGGCCCTCTTCGGCTGTTTTGGGACCCTCTTGGGGGTTGCCTTGGGGCGGTCTTGGAGGCCGCGTGGGCCGTCTTGGGGCGTCGGGAAGCCGAAACTGCGAGAATGCCGACATCCTCCCAAAACTTAAAGGAAATCGATGATTAGGGCTTCTTGGGGCCGTCTTGGGAGGCCCCTTCGAGGCCTCTTGGGACGTCTTGGGGGCCTCTTGGGCCGTCTTGGGGCCATCTCGCGCCTTTTTTTGGGGGGTCTCTTGAGGCTCTCTTGGCCTGTATTGGGGCCCTCTCCAGCCCGAAAGGGCCACGTGAGGAGACGCGCCGGATCCCAGGGGGCACGCGACAAGCTTCAGGAGATTTCGGAAATTTGGGTCCAGGCTCCTCAGTGACCCCTCACCCCTCAGAACTGAAGACTGAGGCTCAGGGGGTTAGGCAAAGGACCTGAGGGCACGCCCACGATGGCGGACTTATAGAAATCGTGAGAAAAGAAAGAAACAGCACAAAGAAAGGAAGAGAGAGAGAGAGAGAACAAAAAGAGAGAGAGAGAGAGAAGGAGAGAAAGAGAGAGGCACACAGACAGAGAGGAGTGGGGAGGAGAGCAGGAAGAGGAGGAGGAGAAGGAGGAGGACGAGGAGGAGGGGGAGAACCTGCCCCTGCTGCTGCTCATCCACTTTCCCGTCTTCGCCAGAGCTCGGGATACCGAAATCCGAAGCGCCTTCTCTAAACGACCTCGATGCGGCTCCCATTTGGAATTATTTTTGTGTGTTCTCCTCCTCCTCCTCCTCCTCCTCCTCCTCCTCGTTTTCCGTGTCCTCTTCTTCCTCGTTTTCTTGCTTCTTCGTCCCTTTCATTCCGCCCCCCTCCTCCCACCTTCTCTTGTTCCCCTCCGCACCCTCGTATTTCATTCCTCCTGAACCCTCCGCCCCTCTTTTACTCATTTTCCTCCCCTCCTGCTCCTTCCTTTCTTCATTCCTGTCCTCCTCCTCCTCCTCCTCCTCGTCCTTCTCCCTTTTGGCCTCGTCTTCCTCCCTCTTTCCTTGCTTCTCCTCCGCCTCATATGTATCATCCTTTTCCTCGTGCTCCTCCTCCTCCTCACCCTCCTCCCCCGTAGCCATTTTGGCTCAAGCCATTCTGGCTCAAACCATTTTGACCCAAGGTATGTATGGCTCACGCCGCGGTGCCTTGTCTACTGGACATCGGTCGAGGGTCTCGAGAAGGTGCTATTTCCCTCGAAGCGTCGATCAAGAACTGCGGTCGGAGAAAACAATGGAGCGAAGCACTGCGGTTTCTCCGCGAAGGAGTTCGATTCGGTGAGCAACTCGCCCCAAGCCACTACATTGCGACTGTCAGCGCATGCAGAAAAGGCGGGCAATGGCAACACGCGCTGTCAGTGCTCAGTGAGATGTGGGAGGCGAAGCTGGAGCCCAACGTCATCAGCTACAGCGCTGGGATCAGCGCGTGCGAGAAGGGCGAGCAGTGGCAGCGAGCGCTGGCGCTGCTGAGCGAGATGTTGGAGGCGACGGTGGAGCCCGACGTCATCAGCTTCCGCGCGCCCTGCCAGGCCACCCTGGGGAGTACCGGGCGGCCCCGCGCGCTCCTGGGCGGCCCCGAGGCGCTCCACGACGGCCTCGGAGGGCCTCCCCACGGAGGCTTGAGGTCCCCGTGCGGCCCCGAGACTGTCCAAGAGGGTCTGCGAGACGGTCCACGAGCGCTGGAAGACGCTCCAGATAGCCTCCAGACGGCCCAAGAGGCGAAACGCTCCAGGTGGGCTCCCAGAAGACGCCCGAGAGAGCTCGCGCAAGCAAAAATCGTTACAAAACCTATGGAACGCGTGCATTTTCGCAACTCCCGTGCTCGTTTTCCAAGCGTCCACGACGACAGTACGAGCCCCCAAGATCGGCCCAAGACGTCTCAGGAGGCCCCCATAAGTCTCCCAAGACGGCCCCCGGCGGCCCCAGGACGGTTCCTCTGGCGCCCACTACATAATACACCCCAAGGAGCAGTCAAGACAGCCGCAAGAGCAGCCACAGATGGCCCAAGAGGACCTCGAGACGGTCCCCAGACAGCCTCACAGACGCCCAAGACGGCCCCAGACGGCCCCACGAGGCACACACGAGGGCCATAAACCGCTCCAAATGGGCTCCCAGAAGGCGCCCGAGAGAGCCCGCACAAGCAACAATCGTTACAAAACCTCGGGAAAACGTAGTTCGAAGCGTCCACAACGACAATGCAGACCTCCAAAATCGCCCCAAGACGTGTCAGGAGACCCCCATGAGGCTCCCAAAACGGCACCCGACGGCCCCAGGACGGCTCCCGCGGCGCTCACAACAGCCCAAGAAGCGGTCCACACAGCCCCAAGAGCGGCAACAGATGGCCCAAGAGGGCCTCCAGACGGTCACAAGACGGCCCCACATGCGCCCGAGACGGCGCCAAGAGGTACCCACGAGGGCCCCAAAACGCTCCAAGTGGCCTCCCAGAAACACCCGAGAGAGGCCGCACAAGCAACAATCGTTACAAAACCTACGGGAGACGTGCATTTTCGCAATGTCTGCGCTTTTCGTTTTCCAAGCGTCCACGACAACCATACAGGCACCAAACATCGCCCCAAGGCGCCTCGGGAGGCCTCCATGAGGCTCCCCAGACAGCCCAAGAAGCAATCAAGACAGCCTCAAGAGCGGCCAAAGATGGCCCACGAGGTACTCCAAACGGTCCCAAGACGGCCCCACAGGCGCCGGCCCCACAGGCGCCCAAGCCGGCGCCAGACGACCCCACGAGGAGCCCGAGATGGCCCAAGAGGGCCCCAAGAGGCACCCAAGACGGCCCAAGGCAGCCCAAGAGGGGCCTCCAGGAGGCCGAAGTGAAACCCCGAGAGGCCTCTAAACAGTTTTCAAGGAGAACGCAGCGCCCGCCATCAGGCTTGGAAAAGGTCACAGCCCTCGGAGAGCCTCCCCACGGAGTCTCGACGGCCCCCGACGGCCCCAAGATGGCTCAGAAAGAGAACGCCCCGACGGCAGACTGCTCAGAAAGAGAGCGCCCCGACGGCCCGAGTGGACTCCCAAGACGGCCCAGGAGACTCCCCGTCAAGGCCCGAGACGGCCAACATGGATTTTCCATTGCTTTTTGAAGGATTCCCAGGCTCTTGCCATACACTGCTCAAGGACCCTGCGAGGTCGTTCCAACACGGCCCGCGAGGCCTCCAAGAGAGCCCCACGACGTTCCAAGAGTGCCCCGAGACGGTCCCACGACGGTCCAGGACGGCCCCGCGACGGCCCAGGAGGTGCCCAAGACTGCCAAAGAGACACCCAAGACGGCCCCAGGAGCGGCCCAAGACGGCCCACGACGGCCCAAGAGGCGCCTACTCCGGCCTCCGAAGGCCCCACCACGGCCCAGAGACACCCAAGACGCCCGAACAGAACCCACCGTAGCCCCCCAACGCCCGTCAGACGCCGCTGGACCCCTTCCCGCGGACCGTTTTCTGCTCCCGAGCTGCTTTGCTCACGGTGTCCTGGGGCTTCGCGAGGGCCCCCAGGGGCTCAACATTACTAAACATGTTCTCCGGCCTCCCAGATGAGATCAGGGTAGATGGGGTCGGAGGATTGCGCCGCATCGCCGCTGCATCGTCGATGTGGCTGGATTCGGAGCCCCAGTTTCTCATGCAGACGTCGGCGAAGCACCGCCGACGCTGCCGCTGCATCGCCGCTATAGCGTGCTCATCCAGGCCCATCTACTCGGACCCTATGTGGGCGGCCTCTCATGTTCCGCCCCGACTCGTTCACGACGCGAGGGGTCGTCTCCCGCCCGCCCGCCATTACGGGCGCGCGGCGCCAAGCCGGCGGACGCCTCGCTGCGGGGTGCTGCCCGCCGCTGTGCGCGAGCTCGCCCGCGCCCGACAACGTGTCGGAGCTCGACGTCATCAAAATTGCCTTTCGGCCCTACATCCGCCCCCCCCCCCCACTTGCTACCACATGATGACGTAGGCGAAGTTCACGGGTCCACCCTGGTCTCTGCTACATAGCTGGTGGAAGCGCGTGCGAGAAGCCCAGTGCCTCAAGTGCACAAAATCGCCCTTTTACGGCGCCACCACGGGGCCGAATCGCTCAGGCCGGTCCCAGAGGCGCTCTGGAGGGGTTCCCAGACCGTCCAAGAGCGCTCCAAGACGGCCTCAGTGGGTCCCGAGACGGCCCACGAGGGCCCGAAGCCTTCCGGGGGGGGGCTCCACGACGATCCAAGAGGCCGCAACGACGCCCCAAGAGGGCCCCGAGCGCTCGCCAAAGAGGCACAAATCGTCAAATTCCTTTTTTAGGAAGACGTATATTTTCAGCATGCCCGCCTTGTGTGCTCTCAGCGGCCCAGGACACGCCAAGAGGCCTCCCAAATCGCCCCAAGAAGACGCCAGCGGCCCCTAAGAGGGCTCCAAGACGGCCCACAAGAGCCCCAAGACGACGCCAGAGAGCCCTGAAACGGCCTCACAGAACCCCAAGACGGCCCCAAGAGAGCTCCAAGGGGGCTCCAAGAGGCTCCCAAGACGGCCTTAGGCAGCTTCAAAAGAGCTCCAAGACGGTCCAAGGCCTCCCGGACGCTCCGTGACGGCCCAAAATGGCCCCAAGACGTTCCAAAACGCTCACAGAGCAGCCCAAAAAAGCTTCAGAATGGCCCGAAGAAGACCCCCACAAGGACCACCAAGCAGGCCCAGAGACGCCCATTAAAAGAGCGATCGGTGAAGTACAAAGCCCGAGAGGGCTTCTAGACGGCCCCCAGACGGCCTAAGACGGCCCCAGACGGCCCCGAGAGGCACCCAAGGCGGCCCAAGAGGGCCCCAAGAGGACCCCAGGAGGCCGCAAGACGGCCCAAAAGAGTCCCAAGAGGCCCCCAGGAGGCCGAAAAGGAACCCCGAGAGGCCCCCAAACAGTTCCCAAGCAGAAGGCAGCGCCCGCTATCAGGCTTCGAAAAGTCAACCAGAAAAAAATCACCAGAGCCCTTCGGGGGGCTTTTTTCTCGGCCCCAGGTGCTCTCAAAATGGTTCAAACCAGGGGGAGCAGACAAGCGGCGGGAGGCACACCGCAGACCCACCATAGCCGTCTGTGATGTTCCGAAGGCTATCCAGGCGGATGTGGAGCGGAAGGCGGACGAAGAGGAGGAAGCGCCCGCCTTCCAACTTCGGAATGGCGGCCGGAACAAGTAGCCGAAGGCTTCGGGGTGGCTTTTTTCCTGGGCGGGGGCCGAGCGTGGAGGCCCGCCAGGGGGGCCTGCTGGTCGTGGACGAAGTCCACGGGTTCGCCCTAGTCTATACTATATGGCCGGAGGAAGCGCGTGCCGGAAGGAAATCCAGTCAAATGCCGGGAAACGGCTCCGAGACGCTCCAGAGGCCGCCCCGACGGCCCAAAGACGGCTCCGAGCCGCTCAAGATGCCCCGAAGGCGGCCCAGGAGGGCCCCGAGACGCGCAATGATCTGGCCAAGACGCCCAAGATTGGCCCAAGACGGCCCAAGAGCTCCCCAAGACGGCCCAATAGGCCTCCCAAGAGGCCTCCCAAGAGAGCCCCGAGAGGCCAAAATCGTTGATTTTCATTGGTTTTCCCTAGGTTTTTGCTTCCTCGCTTTTCTGGCTTCCCGACGCTCCCAAACCCTCCCAGAGGCATCCAAGACCGCTCCAAGACGGTCCAGGACCCCAAGACGGTCCAAGAGGGCTCCAAGACGGTCCAAGGCGGCCCCAGGACGGCCCCAGAGGCGCCCAAGACAGGCCAGTGGGACCCCAAGATGGCCCGCAGAGCGGCCCAAGATGGCTCCAAGACGGCCCCTGACGGCCCCAGAGGCGCCCTAGACAGGCCAACGGGACCGAGGAACCGCCCAGAGCTCGCCAAGACGGCCCAACAGGCCTCCCAAGAGGCATCCCAGGAGAGGCCCGAGAGGCCACAATCGTTGATTTTCACTAGTTTCCCCGAGGTTTTTTGCTTCCTCGCTTTCTCGGCTTCCCGACGCTCTGAAACCCTCCCAGACGCATCCAAGACCGCTCCAAGACGGTCGACGAGGTCCCCAAGAGGACCCCAAGACGGTCCAAGAGGGCCCCAAGACGGTCCAAGGCGGCCCCCGGACGGCCCCAGAGGCGCCCTAGACGGGCCAACGGGACCCCAAGATGGCCCGAAGAGCGGCCCAAGATTGCTCCAAGACGGCCCGAGGACCGCCCAAGAAGGCCCTAGGAGGCCCCAAGACAGCCCAAGGAGCGCGGTAGACGAGCCCAGAGAGGCCCAAGACGCCTCCCGGAGCCCAACAGAGGCCCCCAAGAGGTGCCCAAGAGGTTTCCAAGAGCGCCCCAAGACCGCCGAAGAGGGCCCCAAGACGACCCAAGAGACGCTCAAGACGGCCCACGAGGGCCCGAGGACAGGCTCAAGAGGGGGCCTAGAGGGGGACCACGGACCGAAATTCCGAGCCTTGTGCCCCAAGAGGGCGCCAGGAGGCCCAAACAGGCCCCCAAGAGGCCCCCAGGGGCCGCCAAGAATCCCCCGAAGAGGCTCCAGGAGGCTTCCAAGGAGCCCAAACGAGGCCCCAGCAGAGGCCCCAACAGCTTCCAACGAACATGCTGCTATGTATCGTCGTCGCCTGGCGGCAAACCCCGTCACCCCGCAAGTGGACGTAGTCCACGGGTCAGCCCTAGTCAGCTACAATGCTGGGATCAGCGCGTGCGGGAAGGGCAAGCAGTGGCAACGGGCCCTGGCGCTGCTCAGCGAGACGTGGGAGGCGAAGCAGGGTCCCGACGCGGTCTACAGTGGAAGCCCACGCCGAGAAACACCTTGCTTGCCGCCAGGGTGCCCTGGGCTTCGCGGGATTCGATGGTTCTGCTATGGAGAGCGCGACGCTTCCACACCAAAAGTCAATGGACGTCCTGGGGCCTCAGGGTTGGGTTTCTTGTGGAAGGTTTCTAGTGGTCGAGCCCCTACTGTATACTACACTACCGGGATCCGCGCGTGCGGGACGGCCCTGAGGTGGCAAGGCCCCAGACGGCCTCCGCGACGGCTCCAGGGACGGCCCCAGACAGCCCCCACGGCGGCCACGGGGGACCTCGGCGGACGAGGGCCGAGCACGAGACGGCCCCAGAAACGCCACGACGGCGTCAGGGCCACGACGGCGTCAGGGTGGCTCCGAGAAGCTGCCGGGTGCTTTCGCGGAGGGCCCCTCGCAGGCGAGAGTGGCAAATTTTAGACGCCTCGCGTAGCCCCGACAGCCCATCCAGAAACGATGCCCAGGCGAGTTGCCTTGATCAGGGATGTGGTGGAGCATGCAGTGGGAGAGAGCTGGGGAAGCCATCACACCCCAAGAGGGGGAGGACGGAGGAGGAGGAGGAGGAGGAGGAGGAGGAGGAGGAGGAGGAGGAGGAGGAGGTACAGCGTGGGAGCGCGCGCTTTCCTGCCCCTGCCCTCATGGCGCGTGCTTCTTGGCACCAGGCTACTTTAATTCCGGGCCCGCGCGCGGCCCCTCGTTTTTGCGGCCTCCCTGCGACTTCTCCAAAGGCGATCGATGTATGCAGCAGGGGCGCAAGAGGATGTATGCGGCCGCAGCGACATGCGTTTGTCTTGCGAGTGCTCTCGGGGCAACGGTGTCGCGTTCGGAGCAACATTCCCGAGGTTTCGGCAGCCTCTGAGCAGCCGCAGCCTGCATCACCGAGCAGCAGCAACGGAATAGCACCAACACGCGTTCATGTCACCTGCGCCAAACAGCATGCATCAAGCATCAACAGTCAGCGCCAAGCAACAGCAGCATCAAACCGCAACAAGCAGGTGCCACCAGACAGCAGTTGTGAGCAGCAGAAACAGGAACTGCAAGCAGCAGCACACAACACTGAACAATAGCAACCCGCAGCAAGTGGGAGCGAACCGAATGACGCAAGCACATAAAAAACCAGGCCTGCAGACCAGCATACAAGCAGGCAGGCATGCAAGCAATCTGTCGAACCCGCATGCTGACAGCCACACCAGCAGAACTGGCAGAAAGGAGCTACAGCCTCCAATAGCAGGCAGCAGCGGCAAGAGGCAGTGCGTGGCGGCAAAACGCATTCAGAGTACTAGCGCTGAACAGCAATCAGCAGCAATGAATCGCAGTAAACAGCCGCCAGCACCAGCAAATAACCAGTTGCTGAAGCTCCAAACAACGGCAACTAACACCAAATAGGATCTAGCATCAGCAGGCGGCAGTAGGCGGCAGCGAGCGGGCAAACAAGCGACGAAGCGACCAATCTAGCAGGCAAGCCTGATATTGGACACGCTGACCAGCATGCGAACAGTAACTTCGGAGAGAGCTGTCAGGCCAGCGCAGCTATGTGCGCATAGCACGAAAGGAGGGACGCAGGCATGCGATCCCAACCCTTGAAGACGAGCACACTGTCGTGGCCGGAAGTCCACGGGTCAGCCCTAGTCAGCTACAGCGCTGGGATCAGCGCGTGCGAGAAGGGCGATCAGTGGCAGCGGGCTCTGGCGTTGCTCAGCAAGATGCGGGGGGCGAAGCTGGAGCCCAACGTCATCTATATTACATTACTGGGCTCAGCGCGTGCCAGATGGAGGCATTAATTGCACCCGCCAGGCTCGCGGCGGCAGCACCTCCGCGGTCCCGCTCGTGGAGCGACGCCGTCCTGGCCCAGGAGAGCCCCGCGAGTGGTCCGAAAGGCTCCCAGGGCGCTCCTCCGCAGCACAAGAGGGATCCCAGACGGCACGAGAAGGCCCCCAGCAGGTTCCATAAGGCCCCCACCAGGTTCCCCAAGGCTTCCAGGAGGACGAACAACTCTCGCTATGTTTTGCATGTGTTTCCCAACCATATTGTGTTGAATCGGGTCATGTTGGGTCCTCGTTTTGAAGAGAGCGCCCCGCGTCCCTCCCCATCCTCCTCTCCTCTCCTTCTCCTCCTCCCTCCTCCCACCGTTGCCCCTGTCCTCCACATGCCCTCATCACCATCATCATCGTCATCATCATCATCATCATCATCAGCATCAGCATCAGCATCAGCATCATCATCACCATCACCATCACCATCATCATCACCATCATCATCACCACCATCATCATCAGCATCATCATCATCACCACCATCATCATCATTATCGTTATCATATCCGTCGTCGATATTATCATCATCACCATCATCATCATTAGCATCATCATCAGTATCATCATCACCATGATGATGATAATCATCCTCAGCTTCATCATCATGGTCATTTCATCGTTTTCATGTTCGTCGTCATGACTATCACCACCGCCATCATCATCACCATCATGATCATCACCAGCGTCAGTGTCATCACCACCACCATCAACATCATTATCACCAGTAGCATCACCGTCATCAACATCATGATCATCATCATCGTCATCATCAGCATCATCATCCTCAGCATTATCAACATCAGCATCACCATTATCATCACCAGCGTCATACGAATCATCATCATTCTCATCATCATCATCCTAATCATCCTCATCCTCATCCTCAACCTTCTCAACATCCTCATCCTCATCCTCATCCTCATCTCATTATCGTCATCGTCATCATCAGCATCATCATCATCCTCATCATCATCAGCGTCATCATCGTCATCATCATCATCACCATCATCATCGTCATCATGATCATCAACATCAGCATCGCCGTCATCATCATCAGCACCACCATCATCACCATCATCATCATAATCATCATCAGTACAGTACCATGACCAGTATCATTATAATCAGCATCAGCATCATCACCATCGTCACCATCACCATCATCATCATCATCAGCAGCAGCAGAAGCATCATCATCGTCATCATCATCCGAATCATCGTCGTCGTCATCATCAGCACCAGCATCATCATCATCAGCAGCAGCATCATCATCAGCATCATCATCAGCATCATCAGCATCATTATAATCATCATCATTATCCGTGAGGGGTTCGCCCCCATGCCGCTGGCCCCCCTCTTTTAGAATGGGACTTGCCAGAGATGCGTTGGGATGTCTGGACGCTGACGTGAAGCAATGTTGGGACTTCACGCGATGGCCAATATTAATTTACATGGGTTTACGGTTTCGGTGGCACGGATTTGAAGTATTTTGCGATGGTTTATGGTTTCGGGGACGCGAATATTATATTATTTACAAGGGTTCGTGGCCTTGGGGACGCACATACGGTGTAATTCACGAGGGTGTATGGTCTCGGGGGCGCAAACATTGTGTAATCTACAGCACTTTATTGGTTCGGGGACACGAATGTTGAAATTTGCACAAGGTTTGTGGCTTCGGGGACAAACATATTGTATCATTTGCGAGGGTTTATGGCCTCGGGCGGGCAAATATTGTATAATTTACAGGTATGGCTTCGGGGGCGCGCAAATCCAATAATTTACCTAGGTTTATGGTCTCGGGGGCGCGAGTATGGTGTCATTTGCATGGGTTTATGGCTTCGGGGACGGGAATATTGTGTAATTTACGATGGGTCATGGCTTCGGGGACGCAGATCTTGTGTAATTTACGAGGGTGTATGGCCTCGGGGGCGCGAGTTGTAATTTAACTGGGATTATGGCCTCGGGCGCGAATATCATATACATTTTTTTACGTGTCCCACGCCCGCCCATGAGCTCAGACAACGCGATTTGGGTGTGATGAAAACCTGGTTTGGGGCTCCCCCCCTCGCGCGTTCAGCAGCAAATAACAATAAGGAAGCAGAAAGCAGGACTGTAGCAGTGGAAACTGGAAGTTGCAATTTGCACAGGGAGCTGCAATCCTCACCCTCGCAGCCGGGTGGCCCCGCAGGGGGGCCGGCGGATCATCATTCTTCGTGGCCCCATATGGAGCTCCACTTCAGACTCCAGTGGCTGCGCCCGCATGCCGCCACCCCCTCATTTTGGAACGCCCCTCACGCGCTTCGTGGCCCCATAGGGAGCTCCACCTAGGGCCCCATTGGCTGCGCCCGCATGCCGCCACCCTTTAATGTTGGCACACCTCTCACACGTTTCGTGGCCCCACAGGGAGCTCCACCTAAAGCCCCATTGGCTGCGTCCGAATAACCGCCACTCCCCCCAACTCTCCGTCACACGCTTCGTGGCCCCATAGGGAGCTCCACCGAAGGCCCCATTGGTTGCGTCCGCATGCCGCCACCCCCCTCACGTTGGCACACCCCTCACAGCACACCCCTCACACGTTTCGTGGCCCCATGAGGAGCTACACCTAAAGACTCAGTGGCTGCGTTCGAATGCTGCCACCACCCTCACTTTGGCACACCCGTCACACGTTTGTAGTCCCATAGGGAGCTCCACCTAGGGCCCCTGTGCTGCACCCGAATCGCCACCCCTTCACTTTGGCACACCCCTCACACGTTTCGTGGTCCCACGGAGAGCTCCACCGAATGCCCCAGTGGCTGCGCCCGCATGTCGCGCCCGCTCTCCCCCCTCATTCATCCCTCACGCCCTTCGTGGCTCCATGGGGAGCTCCACCTAAGGCTGCAGTGGCTGCGCCCGCATGCTGCCACCCCTTCATGTGGCACGCCCCTCGCACGCTTCGAGGCCCCATAGGGAGCTCCACCTAGGGCTCCAAGGGCTGCGCCCGCATGCCGCCACTTCAATGTTGGCACACCCCTCGCACGCTTCGTGGCCCCATAGGGAGCTCCACCGAAGGCCCCAGTGGTTGCGTTCGAATGCCGCAACCCCCCTCACTGTAGCACACACCTCACACGTTTCGTGGCCCCATAGTGGGCTTCACCAAGGTCCCTGTTCTGCGTTGGCATGCCGCCACCCCCTTCATTTTGGCATACCCTTCACACGCTTCGTGACCACATTGAGAGCTCCACCTAGGCCCCAGTGTTTGCACTCGAATGCCGTCACCCCCCTCACGTTGGCACACCCCTCACACGCTTCGTGGCACCATGGGGAGCTACACCTAAAGACTCAGTGGCTGCGTTCGAATGCTGCCACCACCCTCACTTTGGCACACTCGTCACACGTCTCGTGGCCCCATAAGAGCCTCCACCGAAGACCCCATTGGCTGCGTTCGCATGGCGCCACCCCCCTCACTTTGGCATACCCCTCACACGTTCCGTGTCCCCATTCAGAGCTCCACCGAAGGCCCCAGTGGCTGTGTTCGCATGTTGCCACCCCCCTCACCTAAGGCCCCAGTGGCTGTGTTCGCATGCCGCCCCCCTCACGTTGGCACACCCCTCACACGTTTCGCGGCCAAATAAGGAGCTCCTCCTCAGGCTCCAGTGGCTGCGTTCGCATGCTGTCACCCCCTCACGTAGGCACACCCCTCATACGTTTTGTGGTCCCATAAGGAACTCCACTTAAGGCTTCCGTGGCTGCGCTCGCATGCTGCCACCCCCTCACATTGGCACACCTCTCACACGCTTCGTGGCCCCATAAAAGCATCATCCACCTCAGGCCCCAGTGGCTGCGGCGTTCGCATGCTGCCGCCCCCCTCTCACACGTGTCGAGGCCAAATAAGGACCTTCACCTAAGGCTCCAGCGGTTGCGATCTCATGCCACCCCCCCTCACTTTGACACACCCCTCACACGTTTCATGGCCCCATCGGAAGCTCCAGCTAAGGCCCCAATGGCTGCGCCCGCATGGCCCCCCCCCCCCCTCACTTTGGCACACCCCTCACACGTTTCGTGGCCCCATAAGGACGTCTACCCAAGGCTGCAGTGGCTACGCTCGCATACCGCTACCCCCCGTCGCATTGGCACACCCCTCACACGCTTCGTGGCCAAATAAGGAGCTCCACCTCATGCTTCAGTGGCTGCGTTCGCATGCCGCCCCCCCTCACTTTGGCACACCCCTCGCACGCTTCGTGGCCACACATGGAGCTCCACGTAAGGGGTTCAGTGCCTGCGTTCGCATGCCGTCACCCTATTTCATTTTTGCACACCCCTCACACGCTTTGTGGCCACATTGAGAGCTCCACCTCAGGCTTCAGTGGCTGCGTTCGCATGACGCCACCACCCTCACTTTGGCACACCCCTCACACTCTTCGTGGCCCCATAGGGAACTCCACCTAAGGCTTCAGTGGCTGCGTTCGCATGCTGCCACCCCCTCACTTTGGCACACCCCTCACATGTTTCGTGGCCCCATAATGACCTCCACCTAAGGCTTCAGTGCCTGCGTTCGCATGCCGCCAACCCCCTCAGTTTAGCGCATTGCTCACACGTTTCGTGGCCCCATAAGACCCTCCACCTGAGGCTTCAGTGGCTGCGTTCGCATGCCGCCACCACCCTCACTTTGGCACACCCATCACACGCTTCGTGGCCCCATAAGGCGCTCCACCTAAGGTTTCAGTGGCTGCGTTCGCATGCCGCCACCCCCCTCACTTTGGCACACCCCTCGCATGCTCCGTGGTTCCATAGGGAGCTGCACATAAGGTCCCAGTGGCTGCGTTCGCATTCGGCGCCGTGTTCAGGGTCTTTGGGGCCGTCGCAGGGGCTTTCTTGGGAGCTCCCTGGTCGCCTTGCCGACGGTGTGGGGAGCTTTTCGGGGTGGGTTGGGCGTTTTTGGGTTGGGTCGGAGACACGATCGTATTAGGAAATATGAAATTATCCGGGCGGAGGACCTAACCATCTGCAGTTTTGGAGCTCCCCATGGGACCACGAAACGTTTGATGGGTGTGCCAACGTGAGGGTGGGGCCCCTGCGGGCGCAGCCACTGGGCCTTCGGTGGAGCTCCTGTGGGGCCACGAAGCGTGTGAGAGGTGTGCCAAAGTGAGGGAGGTGGCGGCATGCGAACGCAGCCACTGGGGCCTTCGGTGGAGCAGCCTCTGGGACACTCCCCAGAGGCTTCCGGAAAGCTACCAGCAGCTCCCTCGAAACGGCTCCGACATGCTCCAGGAAGGCCCCCGCTCATGGGAAAACGTGATACCTCACGGGCTCCCGGAAGGCCTCCAGCAGCTCCCTCCAAACGGCTCCGATTGGCTCCTAGGAAGCACTAAATGATAGGAACAAGCAATACCCCTATACCGCTTGGGACACCTCTCGCGCACAGGAACGGTTGCAGAAAATAATAGATGTCCGATCCAGCCGCGAACACCCAGGAACGCTGTTTCTGCGACTCTCCCCGCGCCGAGCGTGTCCCTAGAGGTGTGGGGTGTTGGGTTCTGATTATTTTGGGCCTCCTCCGCCTTCCCGTCGTCGCTCTCTTCCGCCACAGGCGCCCCTGCTGCTGCTGCTGCTGCTGCTGCTGCTGCTGCTGATGATGATGATGATGCTGCTGATGGAGATGCTGCCGCTGCTGCTGGAGCTGCTGCCGATGCTATTGCCCATGTCCCTGGATCTGCTGCCGCTGATGCTGCTAGCGCTGCTCTGGAAGCAAACAGCGCACCCTGAAGCAATGAGCAGCAGCAAGCGCATTCTGACTACTATAGACTACTGGCACCCGAGGACCGTAGTCCACGGGTCACCCCCAGTCAGTTACAACGCTGGGATCAGCGCGTGCGAGAAAGGCGATCAGTGGCAGCGGGCTTTGGCACTGCTCAGCGAGATGTGGGAGGCGAAGCTCGAGCCCGTCGTCATCTCTGCATTGCGATTCGGGGCAATTGCGCGTGCGAGGAGGCCCTATACTGAAAAAGCCGCCCCCGAGCGCCCGAAGCGCCCTGGGGCGGCACGGGGCGCCCGGAGCGGCCCTGAGGCCCTCCGAGAGGGCCCCAAGGAGCTGCGCAAGAGGGCCCAGGCCAAGGTCCCAGGCGGCTCCAGCGCCGCACCTCTCCACAAGATGATCCAATAGGCCCCCGGGACGGCCTCGGAGAGCTTCAGGTGACCTCATGTGCCTGCCCAAGTGGGCCCCAGGAGCTGCGCAAAACAGGGCACACGCGAGGGCCCACCGCCGAGCTCCCAGGCGGCTCCAGCGCCGCACCCTGGCCCCGAGATGGCCCTGCAGGGACGGCCCACGAGAGCCCAGGAGGACCCCGCATCTCCCGAGGTGTTCCACATTCCTCCCATGAGGGGCCCAGATCGTCCCCACGCAGCTCCAGGTCCTATCACAACCGCCCCCAAGGACGCCCCAGGAGCTGCCCAGGAGGGCCCAAACCAGACTCCCAGACGGTTTATTTAGGAGATGTTTCTTCTTTTCTCCTCGTGGCAGATGGGCCCAGACCGCCCCGCCCCCCAACGGCCCCAGGTCCTGTCACGACCGCGCCAAGATGGCCCAAGAGGCCCTCGCGAGCCCACCCAGACGGCCCACGGGGGCCCCAAGACGGCCCAGAGCAGGCCTCGGAGAGCTTCCTATCACTTCATGGGGGCTAGCCGCCCAAGAGGGCCGGCGGCCCCAGACCCCCTCCCTGGCCCTTAGATGGCCACAGCGGCCGCTGGGATGGCCCACGAGAGCCAGGAGGACCCCGACGGCGGCCCCGCGAGGCGAAAAATGTCGCCGGCGGCCCCACGAGGCGGGCCAAGATTTTCGGTAACAGGTTAACAGCATTTCTAGTTCGCGCGCGCGTGGCGGCCCCTGGGGACCCTTGGATGAAAAGTACCCTGGCCGATGCCCGGCTGACTCCCCCAGGGCGCTCCAGGAGCGCGCCAAGAGGGCGCCGGGACGCCCCCTACACGGCCCAAGAGGCCCCGAGTCGCCGAAAGATCTCTCCAAGACGTTCAAGATGGTCGCCAGATGGGCCCAGATGCCGCGGAAAAGCCCCAAGAGAGCCTCAAGAGGCTCTCCAAGAGGGCCCCAGCAAGCAAAGATCGCCCCATTCTCTGCGGGAAACGTACATGTTTCGCATGCGCGACGTCTTGGGTTCACAGCGTCCAGAACTGCCCCAGAGGCCTCCAACATTGTCCCCAGACTGCCCAACACGCCCCCATGACGACCCCAGGAACCGAAAAGTCCCCAAGAGGCCCCCAGGAGGCCCCAAGAGGCCCCCAAGAGGCACCCCAAGAAGCCCCAAGAGGCTCCAACACGGCCCCAACACGGCCCCCAAGGGGCTTCAAAATTGCCTCCCAGAGCCCCCCGAGAGGCCAACCACGAGTGCCCAATCAGCATCCATGAGGCCTCTGACCCACCACCCAGGCACGGCGAAGTGCTCCCACCGCCTCCGAAAAATGGCAGCCGCCCAACGGCACCGCATTGACAATAACACCCCGACAAACGACAGCGGCGAGGCAATATGGGCTGGCAGAATGACCGAAGCGATTAAATAAGCAAAACACATACGTGTTCCAAGGTTTTCCACGCTCTCCCTTAACGGCGCCCCAGGCCCTTCACAGAGCGCACCGACATGGCCCAAGAGGCCCTCACGAGCCCACCAAGACGGCCAACGAAGGCCCCAAGGCGGTCCAGAACAGGCCCCAGAGAGCCGAACAGAGCTTCAAGTTGCCCCCACACGACGCCCAAGGAGCTGCCCAGGAGGGCCATACCAAGACTCCCAGACGGCCACAGACCCCCACCTTGGCTCCAAACTTGCCCAAGACGCCCCCGGGACGGTCCAAGCGGGCCCACGAGGACTCCGAAGACGGCCCCACGAGGCCAAAAATCAAGCACAGACTATGTATTTCACATGGTTCTGCACATTCCCACAATGACAAGCCCAGAACGGCCCCGCCTGGCCCCAGGCGCTTACGATCGCCCAAGACTGCCCGAGGCCCCGACGAGCGCACCAAGACGGCCCACGAGGGCCCCACACCCCCAAGACCCCCAGACGGCTTGATAGAGCTTCAGCTGGCCCCCCGACACGCTCCCGGAGCTGCCCAAGACGGCCTTAATTTCAACAACCGAGCTCCAGCACGGCCCCAGACCCCCACTGGCTCCACGACAACCGTGGAGGCCCCCGGGACGGCCCCAATGTGGCCCCAGTGTGGCCCAGACGGCCCACGAGGGCACCCCAACACGCCTCGAGCCCCCTCCAGCCGATTCGGGGGTGACAAGCGGGACCTTCTCCCACCTTGTCTGCCTCGGCCTCCTCCTCCGGGAGCCTGCGCGCCCCCCTCATCAGTACCGCTCTCCTCCTCCTCCTCCTCCTCCTCCTCCTCCTCCTCCTCCTCCTCCTCCTCCTTTCCCTCCTCTTGCAAGAGGATGCAGCGAGACTGGACTACGAGCTTCCCGCAGCCGTCGATGCCACGCGAACCCTCCAGGAACCACTCCGAGATAGCCCTGACCTTCCCAGGAAACTTGCAGACAGCTTCCAGCCCTGGGAGCTTGTCGGTCCCGAACGAGCTCGTGTCGCCTGCGATCGACGGCACGTGCACGTTCGAGACCAACACCTTGACCTGCCAGCCGTGGATTCCTCAGGGGTTCGCGCTAGTCAGCTTCAACGCTGGGATCAGCGCATGCGAGAAAGGCGAGCAGTGGCAGCTGGCGCTGGCGCTGCTGAGCGAGATGCGGGAGGTGAAACTGGAGCCCGACGTCATCAGCTACAGCGCTGGGATCAGCGCGTGCGAGAAGGGCGAGCAGTGGCAGCGGGCGCTGGCGCTGCTGAGCGAGATGCGGGAGATGAAACTGGAGCCCAACATCATCAGCTACAATGCTGGGATTAGCGCGTGCGAGAAACGCGAGCAGTGGCAGGATGCGCTGGCGCTGCTGAGCGAGATGCGGGAGGTGAAACTGGAGCCCGACGTCATCTTCTCTACAATGCAGGGACCCGTGCGTGCGGGAAGTGTCCCTGTCTTGATGGGCTTAAAATGCCCCACAACGGCTCCGGGGACGCCCCAGAGGCGCTCACGCGGCCCCAGAGGCGCCCAGGACGGCCCCAGACACTCCCAAAACGGCCCAAGAGAGCTCCAAGAGAGCTCAAGACCGCCGACAACGGCCCCGACAAGGCCCAGGAGGCCTCCACGACGGCCCGAGAGACGCCCAAGAGGCGTCCCAGGATGGCCCCCGCAGGCCCAAATCATTGTTTTTCCAACGAAAAACGTCAAATTTTAGCACACACTGCTTGTCGGGAAGATGGCGCACAAGATGGGACAAGATGCCCCCACGACCGCCCAAAGACGGCCCAAGATGCCCCCCAGAGGCACGAAAACCCGCCCGCGAGAGCGTCAAGAGACCCAAGCCCCCAACACGGCCCCCAGGCGGCCCCAAGAGGCTCCCAGGAGGCGCCCAGGACGGCCCCAGACACCCCCAAGACGGCCCAAGAGCGCTCCAAGAGAGCTCAAGACCGCCGAAAACAAACCCAAGACGGCCCAGGAGGCCTCCACGACGGCCCGAGAGACGCCCAAGAGGCGTCCCAGGATGGCCCCCGCAGGCCCAAATCATTGTTTTTCCAACGAAAAACGTCAAATTTTAGCACACACTGCTTGTCGGGAATATGGCGCACAAGATGGGACAAGATGCCCC